TCATTATCATCGCTAAACCAACACAACCCTAAGCAAATCCTTATCGATAGTGTGATAACATTGTCACTGATGTCGTCGATGACATGACTGACTCGTCGTACTTTTGATTTAAATTTCGACTGATGGCCCCCGAAATTTACGATAGTCTTCGAAAACTGCTAATCATCGACTAAAACTGAAAGCAGCAAATCGATCATTGACCTCGGGGAATCAAATTTCGTTGGCAGTGAGAAAACTCTTAAATCAGATGTCAAATAAGCTTAAAAAATAATTTTTCACAAAAAATTTCTATTTAATTCACTCAAATCAGATGCTGTTAAATGACAAAAGGTATTAAATGCACATTTTGGGGTATTTATATCCTCTTCATATCAACTGAACAGATGAATGAGAGGTTACATGTTCAGCTCAACGGTGATAATGTCGTGCAAATGGAAACAAATTTCAGAAACATCTTTATTACGTGTTCAATTACGCATTCAAAACAATACCCGATTTGATTGCGTATCATTCTCGAAATAATTTACCGTTGAGTGCCGATCAAATCTGCATCAAAAACGGAGTCGAAAAAAGCGAATGGCAGTTGTTCCATGAACAGGTTCTGCAAGCACTTCCATATATTCTCACTGATCACGTGTGAATTTAAACGGATTTTAAAAATTTTGTCAGATCCCAAACGAAATTCACTTTCAATAGCGAACAGTTAACATGTTTATATTAGTATTGTTACTCAAACGATGCATCTTAATGAATCGCAGTTATGTAGGCTAAGGTCGGTACAGGACGGAATTTTCCTCTTAAGTTACGGTTCTTGACTTCTAAGTCCTGCCATCCCCCGCGTTCGACTTTTCTCGAGGGGTTCCGGTATCATTGGTACTGTGGACGACTTGACAAAAGATAAATTGTGTAATTTATTGAATATGCTGGTAAACAGTCTAGATCAACTTGAAGTCTGTCGATAGTACGCATATGAGAGCAATAAATGAAGTTTATTTTGGAATCAAGGTAGAGAAGACGCGAAAGTTGGGTGAGGGTGCGTTCGGTGAGGTTTGGGAAGGCACCTTGTCGTTGGGCGTGTTCCGTGGACGGATTCCGGTCGCCATCAAAACACTTCATTCGAGTGCGATATCAACCGATGAAAGAATCAAATTTCTTCGTGAAGCGAATTTAATGCTCAAATTGAATCATGTTCGTTGCTTCACTATAGTACAGTAGTTCTCATACGGGGTGAAATTACCCATTTTGGGTAGTCTGAGGGTGTCAAGGAGCAATAGAGGAGGATGGGAAATTAGTATTTCTTAAAAAAATAAGCTCATTGCCATCACATGCAAATTAAATTGAGAGAATAAAATACCAGAAATCATATTTAAAATCGGTAAGAAATTTCCGGACCGGTTTCCGTTTGTTCCTGCCNCCACAAACAAATGTATAGTTTAAAGGAATGAATGTTTTAGTATCGTTTTATCATTCAGTTGAATTATTAACAATTAACCTCATCAATGAAGACCTCAAACTGAAGAAGTTATTTCAAATCCAAATGAATAATGGATTGCTGAAAATTTCTTCCTTTCAATGTACTCATCTTATCCATGTGTCAATACTTTAGATAAGGAGATAGAATGGTGGGAAGATCAAATTGCGCTTGCAGTTAAGCGTATTTTTGATTAACGTATTGTTTAGCAACATACAATTTATGATGTGACCACTCGTTAAAGCTAAATTAATAATTGTTTGGAAATTTTTTTAGTTGATAATTACAGAAGAATGTGATAAAATTTTATGGAGTGGCTGCAACGAGAGAGCCAGTAATGATCGTTATGGAACTGGCAAGCGGTGGTTCATTGTTGTCTAGAGTTCAAGATAAACTAAATCCTGTTAGGATTCCTCGATTCGATTCATCTATTTGATTTCTTCATTCACTACGTTCTGATTTAAATTCCACCAAATCCTAGCAGTCGACAACATCAACTAAAGAATGCATCTAATAGAAAATCGTAATATAGCATTCATTATTTCAGCCCACAGAAACAGATCGAGTTAAATATTGTTCAGATATCGCCAGTGGTCTTGCATATTTGGAAATGATGTGTGTCATTCACAGGTAATGCGCTACATAAAAACCGAAATGCAGTTCTGAACTGAATCTCTGAATCTTCACTATTCTGAATTTAATTTTGGAAAATTTTTTATTATACAACAAAATTCTATCATCAACTACTGAGTTATACGTAACTTTTTTCCTGGACATCTGTAATAAGCTATTTTTGATCTATAAGTGTCCAGAAGTCTCTTTAAATAATGGATCAAACGAGCAATTTTTATTAATAATTCATTGCCTTAATATGTTTTGATTCATTTGCCCGTTCCGTTCGTTCGTATTTTCTAATTGTAAGGATGCAAATGAACGAAACGGAATAAAAATCAGTGACCGGTTAGGACAAGGAATAGTACGAAAGCGATCGCAATAATGGTTGCTTTTAGGGATGTTGCTGCTCGAAATTGCTTACTCGGTGAAGAGGAAACAGTTAAGCTGAGTGATTTCGGATTATCACTGCTGGGAATCGAGTATCGTGAGAAACACATGAAAAATGTACCGATTAGGTCTGTAATACCGTCGAATTTCTTTGATATTCATAAGAAATGCTGCTGGTTTCTTAACAAATCATGGAAAAGAGTGCTTAAGAAATATTTGGGAAAAAAATTTGTCTGAAGAATTAAATGAAATTAAAGATGGCTGGCACCAGAAACATTGAAAGGTGGTCGTTATTCAACAAAAACGGATGTTTGGAGTTTTGGTGTAACGATGTGGGAGATATTTTCGGATGGTGCACATCCATACGGTGATATTGAAGATAATCGAGAGATCCGACACGGTGTTTTAGAGCAACGGGTCAGTCATTTGCTTGCGACAAACGATGAAACTTGCATATTCTGTCTAAATTTAATTCAGATAAACTACAATTAACAAAAAATAAATTTCATTAGAAAATAAATTTTTACTCGTGAAATTGATGAAGATTTACAAACACGATGTGATTTATTGGAATGTAATCCGCGAAAGGATACATAATTTATGATCTTATTGTTCACAATCGTCGCTGAGATTTTGATGATAAGCTGTATCTCTATCTGGATCAGTTGGAATGAAACTGTACATAAGATCCTCTTCCAGTAACTTGAACTTTTCGCATGACACAAAAAATCCCCTCAGAGCTCTCTCATAACCTCAACAACACGAGCTAAAATTAATTCTCCCTGAAGCTTCAGCGATTTGCCGATTGTGTTCCTTACAACTAAGATACTCATCAGTTACTCATTTGTCATGAAGTTTTTTGTAGTCAACTATTGGAATTATTTTGAATGAGATATACTACATCTAGGTTATCAAATAATTGCAGTTGAAATTGAACGATCCAATAGGGATGCCAGCGGAGATACTGGAAGTGATGCATGGTTGTTTGCTGTTTCAAGCTGAACTTCGTCCACCTTTTCATGAACTCGCCAAGACGTTGGAGATCCAAAAGGATGCTCGATTACGGAAAAACCGACTTTCTGCAATTCTGCATGGCATTTTACATATTTGAATGAAACACCAAAGGAGATTTGTCAACAAAACCAACATCACATAACATGAGTATTGTATGTATAAATTGATCAATGTAAGATGTATCGCAAAAAATTACTATTATCGATATTATTAGGCAATAAATGGTCACTTATTGTTTTAAACAAATAAAATCTTCGGATGCATTCGTATTTATTGGTAACTACTGGGCTGTTGCAAAGTAAAATGCAAATTGAAAATGCTTGCAACGATTGACGGTCAAAGTGAACTTCTACGCTCAAACAATTCTCGGCGAACCTCGTCTGAATCTCAACTCATCACTAAATCAGCTTTCGGGATTTTGTAAATCCTCTAATTTTGAAGTTCAGTTTCGAAATGCTTGGATTTCGTTCTGAGCACGCAAGCATCAAAAGTCGTTTGGGAATAATATTTGATTTCACTCGAAAATAAAGTTTTAGTCGTGAAATTAATAAAGATTTACGAACACGATGTGCTTTATTGGAATGCAATCCGCGACATACAATTTATGATCTTATTGTTCACATCATCGCCCAGATTTTGATAATAAGCTGTATCTCTACCTGGTTGGCGAGCATGACCTCAGGTTTATGCGTACGCACAGGTTCTGAAAGTGTGTGTTTGCGCTTGATTCGTTTTTGCGAGTTATTGTCTAGTGGTGAATTATGTGTTTGCACACGATGCATGCATGCATGCTCAAGGAGTTTAGCTGAATCTTAAGATCACTTACGAGTAGCGTTGAACTCGAGCTCAAGAAGTCAAACTCGAATGCTGCTATCAAGCCTGAGCTGACTGACGTTAAAGTGACCGACCGCATGAATCGTTTTATTGTCGTTGTCACGCTAGCTGAACGATTCGGTTGCCCTGTTTTAATTCAATCATCAATCGCAGACTTACTCGATATTCTAGGTTATTGCTTGATTGATTGCACAAATCTGCGATCACTGAATTGGTCGATTCATACTTAAACTCATTGCTGAACTTGTGATGAGGAGCGAACGATGAAAAGAATTGAAGAACAACTCATTGAATATAGACGACAAAAAGCTGCTGAAAGAGAGCTAAATGCACCCGACCAAGCTGGGGTTAGTCCTCAGTTATTTCCCGATTTTTCCACACTTCAACTACGCAATTTTCCACTTCTCAAAATATATGGCCGGAAAATAAAATAATCATCGTGAAAATCGTGAAAAAGTCTAATAGTTGTGAAATGACAATTCTAAATTTTCTTACAATTTCATCAAATTTCTCAGAGTTTCATTCCCACGAACTGCATGCAAAGAATCACTTCACTCGTTTCTACATGCATAAAACGATTCGATACTAACAGTAACAATGATGCTTGATGTCTAATATTAGTGAAAGAATCGAACGAAATTTCGGTTCAGGCGGAATCGGAATTCGACCGAAACCATATTCCAAACTTTTAAAATATTCAAAAATTTTCGNGAATTCTAAAGTTTTTTATTCCGACGGAACTTTAGAATTATTGCTTTATCGGCTACCATTACTACTCCACAATAATAAATTTTCACAATTTGCAATTTGTGGTCGTGTCGTATTTAATTTATGAGTATTGGCGAGATATGAAGATGAATGCTTATGTGCAATGCGTAGCGCTCTAATTAACATTGTATTCATTATTGATTGTGTCAACTTAACCAAATGAAAACATTAATAATGCATCAGCTCATATGCCGTTATAATTGATGTATTGTTATTAGCTTATCGTTAGTCACGCTGAAATGCGACAAATCTGCACCTATGTCGGAATTTTTCATTGCCGATCCATCCGTATCCTATTAAAATTCCACAGCACGATTCTATCATGTCCAAATTGTTTTATACCTACTCTAGCAGTTGATAGGCAATCTTTTTTCGCAGAAAACCTTTCTACGCGTTGAATTTGCTTTACTCACTTGAAATTCAAGCACTTTTCTGAAGCGATGAATTTCATCAGTGTGTAATTGAATCTCATCGAACAACAGATGACAATGAGGATGATCTAAAAGCAAATGTGAAATGTTCACTGAATTTGTTCGAATGCCTTTGAAGAATTTCTTCCCTCTTTTATGCTGACGAATTGCAAATTTTTTGGTGAATCGAATTCTTATTGTTAGCGATATTTCACCCGTTTTTTAGTATTGTTGTCAGCTGGATGTCATCTTCGAACGAAACAATTCGTCTTAATTTCGGTTTCTTTTTGTTTTTTTCTTGGTTCGCTTTTATCTCGATCGAAATTTTCTCGAAGCGAGAGAAATGTTAAACATTTTTTAAACATTTTCCTAAACATGAAACATTTTCTCTTCCCTGGCAAGTCTTATTTGCAATAACTTATTTCGGTCCATCAAAGCGATACGTATTGCACTTAAATTATCGTCATCGATCACGCAGAATCCCATTCATCCATGAGATTTATGATAGTGAATTAATGTGGTGGCATTATTACGTTGAACTTTTATCATTTGAAGCGTTTTGAATGCAACAGCTTCTCGAATAAATTGATGCGCTCACATGCAAATGAGAACAAATGAAAGTTAATGGTTCGTATGAACACACTTTTGCGGTGTGCAAAACTGGTTTTTTCTATTAAGAATCACTTTTATGCGACGATCATTTTGAATCAAAAGTTTGATTTGATTTGATTTCCGTTGAATATATTCATTCATTCAATTATTTGTTGATTCGTTTGCATTGTTGCTTTGTGCAAGTTCATGGAAATATCACGGAATATCATAATTATGTGCAATGAATGTATCTGTCAAATTTGATAGATTTTTGAATGATGTAACGACATCTGAGAGAAAGAAATGTTTTTGATATGTTCTTTCCGAAGGTATTCATTCGTTTGGTTATTCTTAGAGCATTCCTTTGAGTAGTTCTGAAGGGCGATGTTGTAAGAGGGCGATCGAAGTGCTTAGA